AGCAGGCTCTGCACTGACTGCAGAGAGCCCAACGCGGGTCTCAAACTCACAAATGTGAATTCATGACCTGAACCAGAGTCGGTTGCTCACCCGACTGAGCCACACAGGTGCCCCTGAAGTGTAGAGAGTTTAAATAACAAGGCCAAGGTCACACAGCTACAAATGGCCAGGCCAGGGTTCAAAGGTAGGCCTGACCCTGGCATCTGAGTGTGTCAGTGCTCGATCTCTCAGCTCTCCCTCAGGAACCATTGTTCCTCTTGCCTTCTGGCTGCTCCTCCTAACCTCCTAGATCTGCCTCATCCCTCCCTACTTCCTCAACCGCCTTGCCCCCAGATCCCTTATTTCCCCCCTAAAACATATACCTTCTATTATATCTACCTTTTTACTTGCGGTCTAGTGGGCTGCCCCACAGTTCACAGTCACATTTTGCGGAAGGATTTATTTCCCAAAGTTTATGAGCAGAGTTTGGAGTGCCTCTTTGTGGTGCTTGTTGTCTAAACTATGTTCTGTACCCCACAATGACATCTCACACACAAACACACATACATCTTCCCCCCAAACACATATAAGCCCACACATGCCCATAAACTCACAGAAACACATAGACACATAAAAGATGCATATAATTGTCCCACAAACACATACATAACCCCCACATGCACACACACAAAGATGCACACAGAAACCTTCCACAAAATGCACCTGACACATATAAACCACCCCTCAAGCAAATAAACGCTCGCTCACACACACACACACACACACACACACACACACATACACACCCGTACACACAGGCCTACTTGCTGCCTCAGCTCTGCCAGACCCTGTCTTCTTCGGAGACCCGAGCAACATGAGGCTGGGAGGAAGTGAAACCTACCCCAACAGGAAGTGAAAACAGGATGGTGAGCTTTTCTGGTGCTTCTGACACAGCTGTTGGGGGGACTCAGCAAACAGTCTGCAGTTTGTGGAGCTGCTCTGAGGTAACTGGGATCCCTGGGGGTGGGGGTCCAGCTCCTGAGGTTGCAGTAGGTAGCTGGGAGGCTGGGCACTCAGGCTTTGCTTCCCTGGTGGCAGCCCTCCCTGCCCCCCGCCTTAGGTGGGTCTGTGACTTTCGGTGGGAAGGAAGTACGTAGCCTTTCTCCACAACAGGCTTTTGAAAATGGTTGTGGGCTCAAGGACATTCGCTCAGAGTCACATATGCACATGGTCTATTTCCTCGTTCTTACTCCGGGAACAAACTATTTTTATAGAGTTTTCATGCACCCTCTTTTAAAAGTAAAAGAAACTTTTCATGAGGAGAGAGAAGATGAAGTAAGCATAGCAGTAATTGTCACAGGGATTATTTCTCCTTTTGCTTGAGCATGCTGGTCCTGGATCACTGTTAGATGAACTTTTGTCTGTCAGGCCAGGAGAAGTCCCTAGAGGTTGGGCCACACAGCTGCTTCTGGGCTCCTTTGAGAGGCAGAGATGGAGATTTTGGAACGTAGTGGTCTCTGTTATGTGTCAGTAAGGAGAGAGGGAAAGGGGCTGTGGCTGTTGACTGGAAGATGCAGCCTGAGATGGATGGGATGGTGACATAAAGGTCACTCTCCCCTTGCCCTAGAGCTTTCAGCTGTTGGCAAACAATGCAGTCTGAAGAGAGAGTCAAAGACTTCATGAAGTTAAGGGGCTTCCTCAAAAGTCCAACTGTCTGATTCAGAGGCTACAGCCCCCACCATAGCTGTGGAACTAGAGTAAATAGTATCCAGTTCCTTCTTAAAATCCCCTCTTGGTGTCTGAGGTACCATTGAATAATTGAATGTTAGCCCCGGAAGAACCTTGGAGATAATGTCTTTCAACGATTAGCAAATTTTCCATTTTCATGGTATTTGTGCATGCATCTCTATTTACTTAATATCTTTCTTTAAATTGACTTGCTTTAAATTTTTTTTATTCAACCTAAACAGTGATATCATGTATCACTAGTAATACATGTATCACACTTTGAGGACCACTGATCTAGTATAATTCACTCTTTTCACAGATGAGAAAACTGAGACCCATAGGTATTAAGCGGTTTGTCCAAGGCCTCACAGTTAAAGACATACTAATTTGGCAGTGATCCTGAGGTTTTCCAATTTATAGTCTTGATTTCTTTCCAGGAAACCATATCATACTGTGAAGTATGCAGAAACAGTTCCTTTTTTTTTTTTTTAATATTTTTTTATTTATTTCTAGGAGAGAGAGAGAGCATGAGCAGGGGAGGGTCAGAGAGAGAGGGAGACACAGACTCTGAAATAGGCTCCAGGCTCTGAGCTGGCAGTCAGCACAGAGCCCGACGCGGGGCTCGAACCCACGAACCGCGAGATCATGACCTAAGCGAAAGTCGGATGCTTAACCGACTAAGCCACCCAGGTGCCCCGAAACAATTCCTTTTTTAAAAAATATCTATTTAGTTTAGTAATCTTTACACCCAACATGGGGCTCCAACTCATGACCCTGAGATCAAGAGTTACACGCTCCTCTGAGCCAGCCGGGCGCTCCACATTTCTTAAACGTAATTCGAATAAATGACTCAGGGAAAGTGCTAACAGTGCCTAGCAGGAGGAGACCCACTAAATGCAAGTTTCTTTCCTTCCGCCCTTCAATCTTTGCTCACTGCCAGCCTGGACTAGCCGTTTTCTAGAAGCTTTTGGGATCTTTCAAGGCTAATGTTCTGAAATATCAAGATGATATATCTTGGTGTGGCCACTGAGTAATTGTCGTGCTGTGCTAGGAGCCCAGTGAGTCTCATCAATCCAGAGAAGCAGGTCTTCCATTCTGGTCCAATTTCTTGTATTATTTATTTACTTCTTTCTCCCATCTATTGTTTTCTTTTTCTTTTTCCTTCTGATATGTCTTTATTTGGGTGTTGGATTTCCTGAGCCAATAATCATCTCATTTGTTTCTCTCTTATTTTGTCCTAATTTCTAAAAGATTGTCTTCAATTCCATCTTGCAATATTGCTAGTAAATTTTTAAAATTTCAGCTCTTGTATTTTTAATTTCTAAAAGTCTTTCTCACTGTGTTTATTTTACTTATTTTATTTTAGAGTGAGTGAGAGAGAGAGAGAGAGAACATGAGCTGGGGAGAAGACAGAGGGAGAGAGAGAGAATCTTAATGACACGGGGCTCAATTCAACAACCCTGGGATCATGACCTGAGCTGAAATCAACCAACTCGGCCACCCAGGCACCCCTATTTTGAATTTTTCTTTCATTTTTTTTTAAGTTTATTTATTTTAAGAGAGAGAAGGATTGAGCCTGGGGAGAGGGAGAGAGGGAGGTTCCCACGCAGGCTCGGCACTGTCAGCACGGAGCCTGACTTGGGGCTCAAACTCATGAACCATGAGATTATGACCTGAGCCAAAACAAAGAACTGGTCACTTAACCAACTGAGCCACCCAGATGCCACCGCCCCCCTTTTTTTAAGGAATCTCTGCACCCAACATGGGGCTCAAACTTACAATCCCAAGACCAAGAGTTGCATGCTCCACTAACTGAGCCAGCCAGGTACTACTACTCATGCCATTTATTTTTTACAATTGCCTGCAGCTGGGGCACCTGGGTGGCTCAATCTGTTAAGCATCCAACTTGGGCTCAGGTCATGATCTCATGTTTCATGAGTTCAAGCCCTGTATTGGGCTCTATGCTATGAGCACAGAGCCCACCTTCTGATCCTTGGTCTCTCTCTCTCTCTGCCCCTCCCCCTTTCACACACTCTCTCTCAAAATAAATAAATAAACGTTAAAAAAATAGTAATTCCCTGTAGTTGTTTTATGGACATAATATCTTTTCATATCCTTCTTAGGATATTAAGTATGTTTCTTTTGAATTTTTCTTTTATTTCCTGCATTGTCTCCGTTTCCTTCTCTGTATGTGTGTGTTTTGCTTGTTTGTTTATTTTTAAGTTTCTTTATCAAACTGGAGGCTTTTTTATATGCCTTGTGATCCCTTGCTCTCTGGTTATATTTAAAAGTGAAACACTCGGGGGGCGCCTGGGTGGCTTAGTCGGTTAAGCGTCCGACTTTCGCTTAGGTCATGATCTCGCGGTTCGTGGGTTCGAGCCCCGCGTCGGGCTCTGTGCTGACTGCCAGCTCGGAGCCTGGAGCCTGTTTCGGTCTATGACTCCCTCTCTCTCTGACCCTCCCCTGCTCACGCTGTCTCTCTCTCTCTCTCCTAGAAATAAATAAATCATTAAAAAAAAAAAAGTGAAACACTCGGGGCGCCTGGGTGGCTCAGTCGGTTAAGCTTCCAACTTCGGCTCAGGTCATGATCTCATGATTCGTGGCTTTGAGCCCCGCGTCGGGCTCTGTGCTGACAGCTAGCTCAGAGCCTGGAGCCTGCTTCAGATTCTGTATCTCTCTCTCTCTCTCTCTGACCTTTCCCTGCTCACGCTGTCACTGTCTCTCTCCCTCAGAAATAAATAAAACATTTAAAAAAAATTAAAAAAGTAAACCACTCAGGGCGTCTGGGTGGCTCAGTCGGTGGAAGCAGATGACTCTTGATTTCAGCTCAGGTGATGATCTCACGGTTCATGGGATCAAGCCCTATGTTGGAGGTTCTCTCTCTCTCTCTCTCTCTCTGCCTCTCTCTCTCTGTCTCTCATTCTCTCTCTCTCCTATTCTGCTTGCATTCTCTTTCAAAATAAATAAATAAACATTAAAAGAAAAAAAGGGAAACACTAAAAATCTGATTGCAATGTCTTCCTCTACATGTTAGTAGGGCTTGCTGACTGAAAAACTCTACTTTTTTAGAAGGCCTCATGGTGACTTATTTGGGAACCCCCTTCATGTCTGTACTTTGAGGTCTTTCCTCTGGGGCCTCAGAGAAGAATCCTTGTGTATGTTGCCTCCTGGTAATCTGAGAACAGAGTGGTGGAAGGAAAATCAGAGTCTGGAGTTTAAATCTGCAGATTTTCGCTGATCTACTCCCTTCTGTAGTGCTGCCGGGTTTCCATCTGGACAATTTCCTCTTCCAGGCATCACGATGCTTATGGATGGCCCATCCAGGCGGCCAGCCCTGTCCTCCCTGCTTCTGGCCATGGCGATGCCTTTCTTCTGCTCAGCCCTATCCATAGATGAAGCATGGAGCCAGCTGTTGATGAGAGAGAAGATGATGCAGCTGGGGGGGCAGCTGGTGCTGACCAAACAGGAGGAGCTGGCCAACAAAAAGCTCATGGCCCTCAAAAAGGCTGAGGTGTCACAGGCCATGAGGACCCAGAAGTTCCCTCCCAGCATGCACTTTTTCCAGGCCAAGACGCTCATTGAGCAAAGTGAAGTGTTCCATATCCTGAAGAAAATGCCAAAAGGTAGAGGTTTGGAGATGGGGGTTTGGGAGCGCTGGGAAGGCAAGGGGGACTGAACACGGAGCTCGTATTGTTATTGGAGCTGTTATTGTTCTGCAAGAGGTGCCTGGTTGGCTCAGGTGGTAGAGCATGTGACTCTTGTTCTGAGGGTCAGGAGTTCAAGCCTCACACTGGGCATGTAGCCTACTTAAAAAAATAATAATACGGCACCTGGGTGGCTCAGTCCGTTAAGCATCCAACTTTGGCTCAGGTCATGATCTCACAGCTTGTAAGTTCGAGCTCCACATTGGGGTCTGTGTTGACAGCTCAGAATCTGGAGCCTGCCTCAAATTCCGTCTGCCTCTCTCTCTGCCCCTCCCCCACTTGTGCTCTTTCTCTCTCTCTCTCAAAAGTAAATAAACTTTAAAAAAATTTTTTAATAAAAATAATAATAAATAAATGGAGCAGCAAGAATCCCACTTGGCTCCTCTCCACCTTCGCTCTTGCTTCGCAGACTAGGAAGGGGGTGGTCCGAGGTGGCTGCCGCTCCCCCCTAGAAACCCAGAGCTCTGCTTCCAAAGGACTCTGCCTCAGAGAGACAGTGGGGAGTGGGCACCGGGCATCACTGTCTTCCCTGACAGAGCTGATGCGTCCACCCATAAGCCAGTATCTAGGCCCTAGGATCTACTGCTCCCTTCACGGCTTTTCCTGCATCTGCTTCTTCTGCCTTGTCTCAGTATGGGGTCAATGTTTCTCACATCTCAGTATGACGTGAATGTTTCTCTTGGTTAAACACATTTCTAGTAGTGTATGTCTATTGTATATATGTATATATACATATACAAATGTATATGTACATTTCTATGAGTAGTAAAATAATTATAATCCTGCACACGGAAATAGCAATTTGCAGCGGACAAGAACTTTTTTATACTTCTTTTATTTTATGACATTTCGGGTTTTTAAAAAATGTTTATTTTATTTATTTAAAAAAATTTTAATGTTTTATTTATTTTTGAGAGAGAGAGACAGCATGAGCAGGGGAGGGTCAGAGAGAGAGGGAGACACAGAATCTGAAGCAGGCTCCAGGCTCTGAGCTAGCTGTCAGCACAGAGCCTGACGTGGGGCTTGAACCCACAAACCATGAGATCATGACCTGAGCTGAAGTCGGATGCTTAACCGACTGAGCTACCCAGGCGCCCCTAAATGTTAATTTTTTTTCCGAGAGAGAGAGGAAGGGAGAGACAGAGCATGAGCAGGGGAGGGGCAGAGAGAGCAGGAGACACGGCTGTTAGCATAGAGCCCAACAAGGGGCTTGAACTCACTAGCCACAAGATTGTGACCTGAGCCAAAGCCAGACGCTGAAGCGACCGAGCCATCCAGGTGCCCCTGTACCTCTTTTATTTGAATGTTAAATATGGAGTCTGAAAAAACAACAACAACAACTGTGTAGTTGGTAAAGTCACATCCCCACCTGATGGAGAACACAAGGTTTAGAGAGGGTGACATGCCAAAGCACACCCAGCTGTGACATCTAAGTGGCCAATGTCAAGGCCAGGTGCTAAGACAGCGCAGAGAAAGCAGAGGGACAGTGCATACTGTGAGTTGAGGAGCTCTGTAGTCTGAATGGCGTCAGGTCTGAAAGAAGCAGAGGGCAGCACGGCAAGCCTGCAGAGCAGAAGCTGCCTAGACACAGGCCAGAAGCAGGGAATGCAAAGCTGGTGTGCGGGCCCTGGGAAGCAGGCTGAGAGGACTGAAGACAGTTGTGCAAACAGGACCATGGCAGAGGGCAGGGGCTGAAGCTCATTCCTTTTTTTTTTTTTTTTAAGTTTATTTATTTTGAGAGAGACACACACACACACAACTCAAGCTCATGCACGGGGGAGGGGCAGAAAGAGAGGGAGACGGAGTCCCAAGCAGGCTCTGCACTGACAGAATTGCTGATGCGGGGCTCGATCTCACAAACCGTGAAATCATGACCTGAGCCAAAATCAGAAACTTAACCAACTGAGCCACCCGGTTGCCCCTGGACTGTCTCTCTCTCTCTCTTTAATGTTTATTTATTTATTTTTAATGTTTATTTATTTTTGAGAGAAAGAGACAGAGTGGGAGTGGGGGAGGGGCAGAGGGTGAGGGAGACCCAGAATTTGAAGCAGGCTCCAGGCTCTGAGCTGTCAGCACAGAGCTCGAACCCACGAACTGTGAGATCATGACCTGAGCCCAAGTCAGACCCTTAACTGACTGAGCCACTCAGATGCCCCTGGGCTGCCTCTCTTGAATGAGGTCACCATGGCTTCTGACTAGTGAGAGACACTCTCTTCTTAAACCAGAGCAAAGAAGGCAGTGGCTGCCCTGGGGAGATAAAGGCCTGGGAGGTCTTTGCACTGGAGGGGAACATGCATTCTGTGCAGTTCTGAGGAACTCCGCCAGATAGGCAGCCTTGTGCTTCTCATTTCTTGTCCGTCTACACTGCCCTCACAGCCCCTGAGCCCTGGAATCTGGACTTCACCTCTTTTGCTTCACCCCCACCCCCACCCTCCTTCCCTTTCCAGGGGCTGCCTTACACATCCATGACTTCGGCATCCTGAGTATGAACTGGCTGGTGAAAAATGTCACCTACAGGCCCCACTGCCATTTCTGTGTCACCCCAAGGGGGTCCTGGAAGTTCAAATTTGCTTATCCAACGCCCCCCACTCCTACACCAGCAGAGTGTTCAGAGTGGGTTTTGCTGGAGAAATATCGAAGTAAGCTACCAAATGTCACTGACTTTGACAACAGGTGAGTGTGGTTCAAAAAGAATGTGTCACGGACCCATCATAGGTAGCGGGTGGTGTACGGGTGTGTCTTAGTACAATCCCATTTATGAAAATCTGGCCTTAAAAAAAATCAGGACACCTGGATAGCTCAGTTGATTAATTGTCCAGTCTGACTCTTGATTTCAGCTCAGGTCTTGATCTCAAGGTCGCGAGTTCATGCCCTGTGTTGATCTCTGTGTTGGGCAAGAAGCCTACTTAAAAAAATATATATATACATATGTACATGTGCATATATATATACACCATATACATATATGGCATATCGGGAGGCCTTTACTTTTAACTTTACAGGATACTTTGCTTCATAAAAGCATTCAAATAGTAAGTTTCTGGTTCATTTAAAATTCAACTTGATCTGCAAAAGGTATTTACAGTAATACTATTGTTGCATCAAATGAGATTTGTCTAGGTGCTTAATACTAGAAAGATGAAAAACTCCCACCCAGCTCCTGGAATAACGATGGTCCATTGGTTGGGGAAACAGCTTGAAAACATGATGGAGCAACTTCCTAACAAACTTGTAAAGTAATATTATAAGTAATAACTGTTTTTTAATCATAGAACCATCTATAGAGTGCTTTTTTTTTTAAATGTTTTTTTTTCTAGGAGAGAGAGAGAGACAGCATGAGCAGGGGAGGGTCAGAGAGAGAGGGAGACACAGACTCTGAAACAGGCTCCAGGCTCTGAGCTGGCAGTCAGCACAGCGCGCGACGCGGGGCTCGAACCCACGAACCGCGAGATCATGACCTAAGCGAAAGTCGGACGCTTAACCGACTAAGCCACCCAGGCACCCCTATAGAGGGCTTTTTTAAGATTATTGCCCTTTATGGGTAAGAAATGCAAAGCTCAGCATGGTTAAGGAAGTTGCCCAAGGCCACACAGGTAGTAAATGGCTATTCAGGGATGTAAACCAGGGTTAGGGTTATTTCCATCACACCTCCTCTATTAGCTGGCTGGGGCTGCAATAACAGAATACTGCACACTAGGTGGTTTGAACATTGGGAAATTATTTTCTCACTGGTCTGGAAGCTGGAAGAACAAGATCAAGATATTGGCAAGTTAAGTCTCTCCTGAGGCCTTTGTCCTTGGCTTCCAGACAGCTGTCTTCTCAGTGTATCCTCGCATGGCCTTTCCTCTGTGTGCACACTCCTGGCGTCTCTCGTACCAGTCCTATTCGATTTGGGCTCCACTGGTATGACCTCAGTTAACCTTAATTACCACCATAAAGGCCCTGTCTCCACATAGAGTCTCATTGAGGGTGAGGATTTCAACGTGGATTTTAGGGGGACACAATTCAGTGCATAACACCCCCCGAAGAGAGCTTAGTCTAGGATGTAAGTGCGCTGGGGTCAGACTGGCTAAGCGTGCACAGGGGAGCAAGAGAACCTGGCTGGTGGGAACATCCTACCTGAGCTGTGTCCTAAGGAGCATAGAGCAGGTCTCAGGGAGTCTGGGGTGCTTTCCTTGACCTCTTATCACTGCTCACTGTGAGGCACCTGGATTTGCTTCTGGGTGGGAGAAGCAAGGTGGGCAGGACTCCTGCGGATGCCTGAAGGCGATGGCTTGAAACACACTTCTTCAATTTACCCTCCTTGTGTCTTATACAGACTGCTTCAGGCTTTCACCCTGATGACCGAGAAACCCGAGGTGACTTATGCAAACCAAGATGCTGTCTGGTCTAAGTTTAAAAGTATCTTCTTCACAATCTCTGGCCTTGTCCAATATGCACCAGTGTTCAGAGACTATGTCTTCCACGCACTGGAGGAGTTCTACCAGGACAATGTGCTCTATCTGGAGCTCAGAGCCATGCTGTTCCCGGTGAGCCCACCTCTCCTCTCCTCTCCTCTGGCTTGACTTTCAGATATTACCCTGTAGGTCTTCACAGTCTCCCAGTCCCAGTACTGGGATAGGGACTGGATGCTGGCTTCATCTCAAAGGGGACATGTGTCTTTCCAGGGGTGACCATGAGCAAGGAAACCTGAACTGTACTTGGCTGGCCCAGGCAAAATTATGACCAACACCCTCACTACCCTTTTACCCTTCTTTTCTCCTTCTGTATACACAGTGCCTCCCAGATGCTCAGAGTTCCCTGCCCTTGGGCTCTGAGCAGTGCCTCATGCTTGGACCTTTCTTGACCTGTCTCCTTTCATATCAAAATTTAGCTTCCCAGAGTCCCTCAGGATCCTGCTCTGGGTCCTGGGACAGATATTGGGTCTGGCAAGCAGATCACCCTGGTAGCCTGCGGAGAATGGATTGCTGTGTGAGGGTCGCCCAGAGAAAGAGGTGGGGAAGGAGGCTGGGAGAGTAGGGAGACTGCAGGTATGAGATGACAAGGCCACAGGGAAAGAAGCAATGAGGAGGAGGAACTTGGACTTGGATGCTGGAGGAGGAGTCTAGAGGTCTTACCCACTGACTCTGGTGGTGAGGACTCTACTGCGACTGGTGGGTATTCAACTTGGGTTGAGTTGTCTGGTGGTGACATTGATGGTAACATTGGGATATAAGAAGAGGAGCTGGATGGGAAGGGAGAAATGGTTTTTGGTTTTTTTTTTCAGGAGATAAAATGTACTTTTATTTTTAAATAAAAAGATAATAAGTGGGAAGTTAATGCTACATTCCTTAATAACCATGAAAAATTTAAACTCAAAGTTTAAAAAAAGTTTGATTTTATTAAAGAAGGTATAAAATACTGAATTCTACCTTTTTAAACACTATTATTTTAGAATCAGTCATCTCTTCATACAGCCAGCATGGTTGCAGTATTTCCACATATCCTAAATAGCTTTTCTAAGGTCTTGAAATCTGAGAAATGTTTTTTCTTTATTTTTTTTAATGTTTTATTTATTTCTAGGAGAGAGAGAGAGAGAGACACAGCGAGAGCAGGGGAGGGTCAGAGAGAGAGGGAGATACAGACTCTGAAACAGGCTCCAGGCTCTGAGCTGGCAGTCAGCACAGAGCCCGACGCGGGGCTCGAACCCACGAACCGTGAGATCACGACCTAAGTGAAAGTCGGACGCTTAACCGACTAAGCCACCCAGGCGCCCCTGAGAAATGGTTTTAAACCTGTAGAATTGGAGGTGCCTATGAGACATCCCTCTGAAAATGTCCAGGAAGTGGCTGAATATATGACTTGGAGCCCAGAGGAGAGAGAGTCCTAGCCTGGAAACATGTTTGACATTTGTCTGCAGAAAGGTAATATTTAAAACTGTAAAATGGATGAGTGTCCCACAGAAGCGAGATGAGAGAGGACCCCGCCTGGAAGGGGGCCCTGCACACAGGCATCAATCAGACCAGACACTTAATGCTTCTTGACTGGGAAGTTCTCTTCCTGAAGGCAAATTGTAGCCTTTTATGAAGCCAAATTATAGCCAGAAGCGTGTTGGTGAGCCAGAGCCCTCATAAGTCCTACCACTGAGCTCTGAGAATTTAAGGGAGTCCATGACAGTGTTCTTAACCTTTGGAAAATCTAATGAATTCCTGGGGGCAGGGGGCGGGGGATGCTAGAATAAATTTACTTTATTGAAGACAGTGTTTTTTCTTTTTCTTTTTCAATGTTTATTTACTTTTGAGAGAGAGAGAGAACATAGGAGCAGGGGAGGGGCAGAGAGAGAGGAAGACACAGAATCCAAAGCAAACTCCGGGCTCTGAGCTGTTAACACAGAGCCTAGCTCAGGCTTGAACTCATGAACTATGAACTGTGAGATCATGACCTGAGCTGAAGGCAGATGCCCAACTGACTGAGCCACCCAGGCGTCCCGAAGACAGTGTTTTCGCACGTATGCCTATGTATCTATGAAACTTTCTAGGAGACAATGCAATGTACACAGATTGTGATATTTTTGCATTTAAAATTTTTTTTAAAATTCTCTGTGGGATTCCTAAACTGACTTTACTACCCCCAATTTGATTTTAAGTGTTCAAGGACCTTCTAATGAAGGATACACCTGTCCCAAGAACCAGTAATTCCAGTTTGTGGGTCAGGGCTCCCTCGCGTGTCTTCTGAGACAAAGCTTTCTCAACTCTCCCTACTGACCCACCTTTTCCCTTAGTTATGTTAATACCCTCCTTGAGGTTAGCTCAAGGCCAGGCCCTGAAGGGTCCTGGTGAGTTGGCTCTCAGGTAAGAGTGCCTATCTCCCCCAGGATCTGACATTTGTTCGATAGTTAAAGCTTTGAGCACAGTTCTTGGGAAGTGGGAATGGGGCTGACCTTTGTCCCTCAGTAGAGCTTTCATCAGTTTTGTGAGCAGAGTAGATAAGACATGAACACAAATGATCCTTTTCCAAGAAGAGAGAGTGTCCAACCACCTATTAAGAGAAGAATTTCTATAAGAGATGAGCTGGCCCTAGGCCTAACCTAGGTAATATGAAAGAAACTGCGCTTCCCAGAACAATTTATTCCCATGGTTTTTGACCCGGGAAATCCTTCTCTCCAAGTATAGGCTCCCCACCCTCTCCACCCCCCACGGGCTTGGAAGCCCATCCTCCTCTCTGGGTTCCACTTAAGCTGGTTTATAGGTTGGCCAACCCCTCCTTCATCTCCTTCCCGGGACTATGTCAGTCCATATGTCCCCTCTTTGTCTCCTGGTAATGTGGGTACTCAGCACTGAGTATTTTTTTTTTTTTTCTGAGACAGAGAGAGAGAGAGACAGTGTGAACAGGGGAGGGTCAGAGAGAGAGGGAGATACAGAATCAGAAACAGGATCCAGGCTCTGAGCTAGCTGTCAGCACAGAGCCCGATGTAGGGCTCGAACCCATGAACCATGACGCTTAACCGACTGAGCCACCCAGGCGCCCCCTCAGCACTGAGCATTTGTTGCCTCGTTATTTATGTCAGATCGTGAGATGTTCCAGACTGGCACCGGCTCTTACGTTGCCAAGAGGCACCAAGAGTGATAATCATGTTTGTTTGCTGTGGTCCTCAAACGTGGCTGTTCATATGAATAATTCGGAGTTGCTCTTTAAAATTCGTGTTTGGATCCTGACCTCCCAGGATTCTAATTCTGTGCTTTTAGGTAGGACCAGGAAGTTGCAAAATTAACTGGCCTCTTCCCCTCCTCCCGGTGATTCTAATGTAGATGGTCTGACCCAGACCACACTTTGAGAAAGGGCCTTCTTTGCCTTGACCTTTACAAAGCACTTGAGGTACATAGCAAGCTTGCGTTTTACAGATGTGGAAAATGAGGCTTGGAAAAGTCAGGGTTTGACCAAGATCACGTTGGTGACATGACTGGATAGAGGCCAGGGGGCTGGACTTGAGCACTAAGGCAGCTGAGCTCAATCTCAGAAGGAGCTCCTGATAGGGCTTCAGGCTGCAAGTATCGTCGTCCTTCTTTAGGGAAAAGAGAGCCCCTAGGGTTGTCTGAGCAGATGATTCACCCTGAGTGGTGCTGGCCCCTGCTGGGGGCCGAGGGGGGGGTCGCTTCCTGTTGGGCCATCCCAACAGCTTTCTCAGCGTGGGGCCTGGGGGAGGTAGCCCGTCAAATCCTGGTGGAGCCCTGGACTCCTTAGGGGGTGGAGGGAAAAGCAAGGAGGGGGAAACTGGAGGGTTTGGGTCTTGGTCGGCTTGAGGGCTGTGACTTTCATCTTGAGCCCAATGGAGAAACATTTAGGGGAAGATGATGAGCAATTGGAGGGAGTGGTTGTTTTTGCTCCCCTTTTTCTGCGGGGGTATTTTCTCCTTACCACACTGAGTGGGCGCCAGCCCATTTAACTTGGGGACCCTGCCTTGCTCTAACCTCTCTTCCCACTCTGCCCACCCCCCACCATCCTAGAAGGTGGAAGGCTGCTGGGATTTGGGATTCTGGAGAGGCTGAGGGGGATGGGATGTGACCATTTGTTCTGCTCTGACCCTGGAACAAAGGCCTCTTGCAACAGAGAGTCTATGCCTTAATGCCCCCCATTAGCCAGAGTAGGGGGAGCCATCAACACATTAACAACTAAAAACCGTCTGCACTGGAATTCTTTTGCTGAGCCGCACAACCTCCCCCTTCTTGCTAGTGGGGCTAATTCAGGGCCTGGGATGATGTTGATGGACTATCCTGGCTGCTCAGCCTCCTATTGTGTTACTAATGCTTGATAACAAAGGCTACTTGCCTTTAGCAACAGTTGCTAGGCGGGTCTTATCTCCTGGGCTCCAGTCCCTTCCCCCACCGCCAGAATCTGAGGCCCAGACTGGGTCCCAGGCAGTCCTCAGAGAGGAGCTGTTATAAGACCCCAGAGGATTATCAACAGGAGATTGCCCTGCTGGTACTTATTGACAGGGGATCTTGGGAGAGAGACCGGCAGTGGCAGAGAACTCACGATGGTTGTTTCCCGGACATTTTCTTGAATGCTGTCACTTGTATAACAAACACTACTGGCACTTCTCCTACCCATCCTCACCGCCCTCCCCACCAAGGTTTTCCCTGGATTCTGGGCAGAGCCTCCACTGAAAATTCCATCTAGCTTGTTGCTAAAGTGACCCCTGTTTCGTGTTGCTGGTATAATGGCAAGAAAATTGAGAATCGAGATTGGGGAGACCTTGTTAATTGCTCTCCTTTATAACAGCATTTATCCTATTATGCTGTATTCACGCTGTTTACTTCAAATCCACAAAATGGTAGATCTTAACGCCAGCTGTTACATTAGAATCATCTGGGGAGGTTAAAAAAACCCACCAGGTTCTACCCCAGAGATTCTGATTTAATTAGTCTGGGGTGAGACCCAGGCATTTCTCTCTCCCTACGTGATTCTAAAGTGCAGCCAGAGCTGAGACATTGAGCCCCCCTAACTGTCACTATCACATAAAGGTAAAGACAGGGTGCTGTGATGACTGTGA